ATTTGTTTCTGATTTTGTCCTATAATTGTTTTATCGAAATCTCTAAATAAATTAAATTTTACTTAATATATCTGTAATTGTTGTTTATTTGCAAACAGATATTCCAAATATTATACCGTATAAATTATCTTTCAGGATAATAATAATAATGTAATTGTTTTAAATTAAAAAATTAAATATTAGCCCATAAAGAATCGATGAATGTAGAAAATGTACATTCAATGTATTTACGTGGAGAGAGAGCGAGAGAGAGAGCGAGAGAGAGAGAGCGAGAGAGAGAGCGAGAGCGAGAGAGAGAGAGAGAGAGAATAACGGATCGATAATTGCGATGAAGTGATGGTACGGTATGTTACAGTATATAATATAGAGCATTGTATTGTGGATACCAATGGTGAGCACAACTACTGTACAACAAGACAGTCCATAACACATACGTATTATGTCTTGAATTAAATTTTGTGAAATTAAACTTTTAATTAAATAATTTAAGCGATGAATCGGTTAATCAATTGTGAATTGAATGCAATAATTCTGTTAATAGTCTATGTATTCAGTGCTTACGGTTTGCATTCAATTACAAAGAGGTATCAAATTCCGGACCCGAAGAATGGTCCGCAACAGCAGAGATCAATTCGTGACAGTATTGTCGACCGCTTCCACATCAATGTCAACACAATTATAAGAACCCACGATTCCAGAGCACTGGGAGCTAAGTATTTGAATGAAACAGAATTGCCCTCAAACGAGGACTGTCTGTATTGGTGTTTGGATACCAATTCCTGCAATCTTGCAGTTTATGAACAGAAAGTAATTGAAACGCTTTTAAATAATATTTAATATATTTAATTTTGTTAACTTGTTTGTGTTATATCTAATAAAATGATGTCAATCTATAGACCCGGGGCAGTTGCTATCTATTTGATTGCGGACCCAATGAAGACTTTCGCTGCAAATTCACGGCTCATAACTTCTATTCGAGTTCTATTCTTCAGGCAAATACACATCCGTATGAACTGAACGAATGGCAGTCACAAGTGAAACACGAGAAAGAGTTGACAAAACTGAGGGCTCAGGGTACTGTCTCTCCAGTTGTAAGCAGTAGTACATCATCGGTGAGGAACCTTATGGCCCCGTCAGTGGTTCCCACGACCACTGCTAACGCACTACTCTATCATAAAAGTAAGACAAAAGATAGACAGCAATCAATAATTTATTTTGTTTGTTAAAAACATTTGTTTGTGCCATAAATTAATTATGTATTAAATATTGATTGTAACAAAAATATATTGAATTCTATGCATAAATATTTAATGTATTCCTAAATCTCTTGTATTAGCGTCTCGTTGTTTGCACTATCAGTTTGAGTGCAAGAATAACAGCGAATGCATAGCGATATACAATGTCTGCGATGGTATCCCTCAATGCAGTGATGGAAGTGATGAAGCGGTTGACTTGGAGTGTCATAAGTCCAGATTCAATGTCCCAAATTCAAAACCCAATCGTCCCATGAGTTCAACAGACAATTCAGGACAAACTCTCAACAAACCGTTAGAAATGAAAGACTTAACACAAAAGCCGGATAAATCAGGTTCAGCTTACGTACGGATTCCGGTTACTAAATCTCAACAAGGATTGTCTGCATATAATTACCCGAAAACCCCCGACTCTGATAACGCCCGACCCATTGACGATCAAATAGGAGCTCCAAAGAAGCATAACTTTGGTCCCGCAGAACAGAATTCCCAATATAGAGGTCCATGGAATCAATACTATCAACCAAACGATGGCTTTGGTTCATCTGACAATCGGATGAGTGGTTCCGGGTATGCGATGGAACCCCAGTATCAAAACAGTTATAACAATCGCGAGTCATCTAATTCTGGCTCTTATTGGCCATCAATTGGAAGACAACAATCGTATGACTTAGCGGACCAAATGTTATCACCGGGAAGTCAATCGTATGGGAATTCCATGTCTAATAAGCCGCAAACCAATGCAGAGGACGAATGGTCACAAAGCGGTTCCAATGCAAACACATATAACTCTAATTATTACGAACACATCTCAAGAACAAGAGCTAACAAACCAGAAATGAAAGGAAATCAGATTTTATCCAATAATAAGTTCTCGAATACCAAACAAATGGAAAGCGATTCTGGAGTGAAGACTAAACCAAACCCGAGTCCTCATCAATACGAGCATCAGTTAAAGTCTAACAAAGTAGACGAGTCCAGCAAATCAGCACTTTATACGAAACCAAAGCCCAATTATTCGCACATCTCGTCGAATAAGGGTTACGTGAATAGCGCCAGTATTGTGGCCGTGTCCTATATGCACGACTCCAGCCAACAGAGCGGTCGCGAGACCAACAGCGCTGTCATAGCCCTGAGTCTGGGCTTATGTGTGACCGCGCTGTTGATAGTTCTCGTCGGATGTCGGATGAAGTCTTTTAAACGAAAGATCGCTCGCAGGGGCGGCCGTTCCCTCGCTCACGACGCCGACTATTTGGTCAACGGTATGTACCTATGAGTTGACTATCAACTTAACATAACTCTTATATTTTGAGTCCACTTCGAGACAAGAATATGGCATCAGATCTATAGTAAGACTAATAAAACTGTTATTTATTCTCTTTATTCTTTAACATGATATCAATTTAACATTTAAATTCTAGTACAGTACATGCATACTGTAGGATTTTGTTATTCAACATTAAGATTAAGTTATTTGATACCAAAACAATTTTCCATTAGTCTTATGGATTATGCATGAAGTGTATGAATGGAGAGATAAAACATTTACTTTATATATTGGTAAGTGATTGACAATAAGTTAATTACCGAATATTATGAATGAAAACTCTTTAAAGTTATATTAAAATTTAAGTCGAAGTTTCAATTTGTATAATATAAGTTCCCAATACTATTTTAATGTAAATTCAAGATTTATTTTAAAAATTGTAAATAATTTGTATGATTTTAAAAGACCTTATAATTACGGTATAAACTATGGATATATTTGAATACTGTATAAACCAATTATAATAAATATGTAGTTAGAGTATTAGATTTAAGTTTTAAAAGAATAATTTCTTAATAACTTAAATTTGTTTAAAGTTTTTACAACAACTTGGTTAGCACTTTGAAAAGTTATTTTAAATTCAAGGAACCCGTTTTTTCTAAAACTTTGTTTTAACAGTAATTTTATTTTTATTTAAATATTATTAAATATGTGGTATTGATACTATATGAATATAATTACATTGGATATTAAATTAATTAAATAATTTAATTCAATCCAGTTAGAATATAATCGAGTTACATACAGTACAGAATATAAGTTATAATAAAACAAATTAGCTCTTTTATTTTATATTCCCATATTTCAATTCCCAGAATTATTGGATTAAGAATACTATTCGTTTAGTAATTGGTTTAATTAGATTAATTTTATGAATAATTACATAACAAAATACATTTCCTTAACTAACCATTATCAATATACTACAGTACAGTAATACATTTGTTTCTTGATCCTCAATTTGTTTACTCCTTTGAATTTACATAAATATTTTGAGATCACGTCTAAAATAATGTTAGAATCCTTTTTAATAGAATTTTAAATTTAGGCAAACAGTTAATGAATGAAAGTGATTTGTAAATTATATTAAGAGTGAGTTATTCAATCTACTTGATTTATTAAAGTTACAATTAACTGGTTTAATGTATTTGAAATACTTTTATAGTGTAAGATTTGTATCTGAAGAAGTGTTTTATTTAAAATAAATTGTAAACATTAATACAAAACTAGCAAACATTCAAATACTGTATGTTCCCTTCAAATATGATTTAAAGATAATTTGTTAATTAATGAAAACTAATCCATTAAAACGATTACATAAAACATTGGATAACACTTGAAGGCCTTTACCAAAGAATCGATTTGTAATTAAGAACTACTTATATATGAATTTATTATTTGTAACTAATTAATAATTAAATGCAAGAATATATTGTTAACAATAATTGGTAGGAAATGTGAAAAACTTAAAAAACATTTTTTCGAGTGAAATGTAAACAATTAATTTATAAGTTGTATGTTTATGATACAAATGTTTGATAGAACAATTATTTCCCTGACATTTTCTATTGAGAAAATCAAATTGTGATTTAAATTATGTAAATTTGCATTTATTAATCATTTTGTGTTATCTTATTTAAATAGAAATAACTACAATACTATAAGTATATGTTTTCACTGATAAGTTAAACCAATTCAGTATTATTTATAAAGTATTTGTTAATTATTTATAATAATTCTAATAATTGTTATAAGAATTTATTGTATTATTTAACAATTTATTGTATATTCATATTAAATGTAAAGTTCTTGAAATTTGTTTTATTATATTTAAGTAAAGCNTGGGCAGTCCTATTATACCATACCATACGAGTATAATTCACTCGGTTTTAATTGCAATTAGCGTGATCACTTCCCGTTCTTGCATTGTTAGTAAATTTCAAGTAGTTCCCATAGCGTTAACATTGATTTATTAATAAATTTGAATACTGTTTGCCATATTTACTATTTAATAAACCTACAAAACCTAAATTTTGGTGCTAGGTAAATTTTGTATCACTCAAAATTGTGATTAATTTAATTACCAGTATATAAATGTTTTAATTATTCTAGTTTAATTCGTTGTATTTGAACAAATCATTTATATTTTATTTTTATATTCAAAAACTATTAAGGTAAATAAAATATCGTTTAAAATTATAACATTTTTATTAACACTTATTACTAATAATTTTTAAATTCATTTATTGTTTTATTGTCACCTAGCATGTCATCGAACTCTGGAAACAAATCCAATTGTAGTAACAGTCCTAAGGAGCAAAATTACACACCAATTGGTGGCACACAAACTGTTATGAACGAGGACCAGACACAGTTTAATGCCAATGTCACTGCCAATGCACCATTGTCAAATCCGGGGCAGCCTGTTACTAACAATGCAAGAACGGGAAACAATTTGCGCTAATTGCAATTAAAACCGAGTGAATTATACTAGTATGGTATGCTATAATAGGACTGTCCAGGTCCGGTAATCTAGCGGAATGTCCTTGGTGTCCAAATCGGTGATTATATCGGTCGACGCGCTATACATTTTTGCTATAAAAGCCCATTAAACTACTCATTCTATACGAGTCAGAGTTTTCACA